AGATAGCATAGGCATAGCATCTGGAACCGTATCAGATACTTCCGAAGTAGAAGGCGAAGGTAGTGGTTTTAGTTTCATTGTATAAAACCGAATCTTGCCAATGAGATCATCATTAGGAGGGTTGAGAACTCTATATTTACTATGTGTATAGTAGATTCTGGCTTATTAAATTTAGCTTTTGATCCTGTATTATCTTCATTTTCCGTGTCCATTGCTTCTGTTCCTCTTATAATATCTTTCTTTTTACGCATCGGTGCTATCTTTCGTCCTGCTATAATATTTGCAGTGATTGGAGCACCAGCGGCTTGTTGTGATTGGAATGCATTAAAATTAAAATTTAATTGGTCGGTTGCAGCTTGTGGTTGGAATGTTCCATCGGTATCGAACATGAAGCTTTAACCACAGTTTGTTCACTGATTTTGATGTAGTTGGTGGAGAAATAGGAGGAATAGTAGAAGTGGGACAAAAATAATTTATGACTTCTCCTACTTTAAATGTTGATGTAGTTATAATTCTCTCTTTATCTTCTTCATCTGATCTTTTGGTGATCGGTTGTTTATTTTGTGAAGCGGCAGCAGATATTTGTTGTGATTGTTGAGGGAATGGTGATTGTTGTTGCTGCTGAGCTTGCAATTGTTGCAGCGTTGGTGATGATTGCGGTGGTGGTTGTTGCGGCGGTTGCTGCTGCTGCTGTTGAACATTAACAGATATTTGTTGTGATTGTTGAGGGAATGATGATTGTTATTGCTGCTGAGCTTGCAATTGTTGCAGCGTTGGTGATGGTTGCGACGGTTGCTGCTGTTGCTGTTGTTGAACAGATACTTCTTGTTGGGAGTGCTGCTGCTGCTGTTGATGCATTTGAGAGTGATCAACTGTCTGTTGGTGTGTTGTAGGTTGCCGTTGCGATTCTCGAGCTTGAGCAACTTCATCTTTCTTACCAGGTAGCATAGGCATAGCATCTGGAACTGTATCAGGTACTTCCGAAGTAATAGGCGAAGTTTGAGGAGTTTTTTGTGGTAGTAATCTCCTTCTAATGGCATAACGTTTCTTAGCCAGTGGATCATTTTTAGGAGTGGCGAGAATTCTATACATTTCTCTGTAAGTAGATTCCTCACAAGAGAGTTGACTTGGAGCACTAAACATGCGATACAATTTAACAAATTGCATTATTACCCACTCCTTAATAATTTGCTTTAGAGGATATTGATGACGGTAATGATGATGATGGTGAGGAATATCATTATTATGACTATTTTGATATGGAGATGCTGACGAACATGTCGAACGGGACCTATGTCGCCGCCGCTGAAGTTATTTCTTACTTCTGGGATACTCAAACTTACGCCACTAACACTGTGGAGCATGGCTTGTTTATTATTTATAAAGACATTTTGGTTTTCTTATTGTAATCATTTGTGTTAGAAAAAATTTTTTCTGTATTTAAGTGAAATGCGATTTATTTTATATAAATATTTATAAGAACTCTCAATTTTATTTGTTTTTTGGGGGTCTACGTCAAGAATAATACGTGATTGTTATTTGCGTCAATTGATATATCATAAAAACGTGAAAAAATTAGTGTAGCATGATTCTATTTTTCAACACGATCGGTTTTACAAGAAAATCGAAATTGGGGGCTTTTCGAATGACATTTTTAGTGATCTCACGTGGCAAAATTTAAATCGTCATTGTATACGTAATATAGTAAAATTTTGAGTTATTTGCATGGTGCGGGGCATCTATATATGACAATCACTTGACCAAATGACGGAATCTTTAAATTTTTACAGATACTGTATTAATTTAAAATTTGACTGATAAATAATAAGCTTCACAAAGTTACCGATTAGTTTTTAAAATAATTTTTTTGTAAAATTTAAAGATTTGGAAATTTTGTCATGTGATTGTTTAGCATAGATGTACCGGTGCCTATATTTTATATATGTATAATAAATTGAGATCTCGAGTGAGCAAATAATGCCCGTTGGACTAGAACCCTAGTCATGGTAAAAGTGACTTTCACGTGCTATTTTACAATCAAATTACAAGGTATGAAATATTGATAACATTTCAATAAGGTTAGAATTAGAGTCAGAGTTAAGATTATTTCATATTTCGTTTTTTCCGTTACACATTGATCTTACAGTTTGATTGGTTTACTCTTAAAAATAACATGTTGATAGTATCATTTCTTTGCAATGGCTATCCTATATATTATTTGATTTTTAAATTATTCCATGACTTGGCAAATATTTAGAAAGGTAAAATAACTGACATAAATTACTAAATAGAACAATTGGCATTTGATCAGATTATTTGGACTGTTAAAATGACCAATAAAATTCTTGATCATAATCAAATGCTAACTTTACTAAATTTAACTCTGATCTGAATAGAAATATTATTAATATTTTATTCAATTCAAAAAAGTTAGTTGACTAAAGAATTGTAAATATAATATAAATTAAAAGCTAAAGTAAATATTTTACACAGAATAACTTTTACTAGAATTTTAAAGTTTTCTATATTAATATACAGTATGTAATAAAAAAACTAGATATTTTTTATGCAATGTAAACATATTTCATGTATTTGTTTTCTGTTCAATTTGAGAAATATGAAATGGAATATAAATATGATAATCAGATATATATTTAACTATTATTTACAACCTGATTCTTAATATAACTTTTATTTAATATATAAACACAATATCTATTTCTAAGCAAGAAATACAATGCTAATATATATTACATTTGTGAAATGAGGGTATTTACAATGGTCAAGAAATTCATTGTCAAACAAATATTACCCTTTCTACCATTTATAATAATATAAAAAAAAGAAATAGTGAATTATATGTAAGATAATAATTGTTTCAGGAAAATAATGGATAGAATCTTCAAGATAATGAAATAGTTAATATACTGAAATAACTCAATATTCACATGAACTTTAGCTTGTAAAATGTTAAATACAGATGTTAATGTGTTGCATATAATAATTTTGAAGTATTTGATTACTTATGAATACTCAAAAGTATTATCTAAAGTAACTTCTATATTAATTAAAGTCTATAAATAAAGATTTATTGAGTAAATATATCAATATCTTAATGACAATTGGAGAAAAATATTATTTTTCAATGAAATCACATTTTAACTTTACCAGAATATCATCAAATATTAATACAAAGATAAATAGTTAATTTATTCTATACTCAAAGATCACATAAAAATCTTTGTATAGAATAGATTTTGCACAGTTAGTAAAATAAGTTTATTTTATTTTTAAAGAATAATAGATATCAAGTTTTATATAAAAATTCTTCAGAAATATATTTCAGAAGCAAATCAGATGTTTGAAGATAGATGAAAATTCTAATAAGATAATAATTCAAAATATATGAGTTGTCTTGCTATGAAATTTTTGAAAGAAAATATTCTAATAATAATAGACTAGCTATCAAATAGTTCTAATTTAAATCTAATAGAAAATCTTTGGAAATTATTAAAATAATATAGAAAGATAAATGCCAAAAAATCTTGATAAATTGGAGAGTTTTATAATAAAGAAGTGAAATAGAATTCTGAAAAGTATATTAATTAATTTGATAGAATTAATAAAATAATATTGTAAATGAACTTATTATTAAGAAAAATGAATTTCTTATTAATTATTATCAAATAAATTTGGTCATTTTCATCTTTTAAGTAATCTATTATTTATAAAAATTAACTAACTCATTGAGATATAATGGCAAAATAAAAATATCTGGTTTTTTTTATTATATACTATACATAAAGATTATATTATAAATAGTAAAGAATTCAAAAAAATAAAAAATAAATTGAAACTAAAACCACTACCTTCGCCTTCTACTTCGGAAGTATCTGATACGGTTCCAGATGCTATGCCTATGCTATCT